ACTGACTGACTGACTGGACACTACAGCACAGAGACACTGACTGACTGACTGGACACTACAGCAAAGTGACACTGTTAAAGAGAAAGGGAGAGAAACAGAAACAGAACAGAAAGTTATTTGACATCTTGTGTCATGCTATGTGAGACATCTCAAGGAATCGCCATGCCTTAGAATAATTACCCCATAGTTTGTAAAATTTGGTCAGGGGAACAATGCAGACATACTGACACAAGCTTATTTTAAAACTTGATACAAAACCGAGGCCTTGTCTGGTCAACAGAAGCCTGCAGATAGATTTACGGCCCAGCCCCATATAGGTGCATGGAGCTGGGCCAGATGCCTTGGGAGAGAGTCCAACCGGGAATACCCCCCAATTCTCACAGCTGACTGGAAGTCTTTGGCTGGGATCGCACACAAATATTAAGACGTACAACGGATCTCAAACCAGCCAAGGCTTAAATAAGCACACAGGGGCCTGCAATATTAATGAACTCAGCAGGCCCTCACACACAGATCAATCTCAGGAGGCTAGCTCAGGTTTCCAATCTTCCCACAGTCATTTCCTGAGGGGAAAAACATTAGAAGAAGCCCGTGACTGCTGGAAAATCCTGAAGTAATCGAATAAGGAATGATCTACTTGTAAATGTTTCTAAACCTGGGCTGTCCAGTCCTGGTCCTGGAGGGGTCAGTGTGTGTGTCTGCAGCAGGGCTGTCCAGTCCTGGTCCTGGAGGGGTCAGTGTGTGTGTCTGCAGCAGGGCTGTCCAGTCCTGGTCCTGGAGGGGTCAGTGTGTGTCTGCAGCAGGGCTGTCCAGTCCTGGTCCTGGAGGGGTCAGTGTGTGTCTGCAGCAGGGCTGTCCAGTCCTGGAGGGGTCAGTGTGCGTCTGCAGCAGATGTGTCCAGTCCTGGAGGGGTCACTGTGTTTTCTGTAGAGTTGTCCAGTCCTGGATCTGGAGGGGTCAGTGTGTCTGCAGCAGGTGTGTCCAGTCCTGGAGGGGTCAGTGTGTCTGCTGCAAGGGTGTCCAGTCCTGGTCCTGGAGGCTCAGTCAGTGTATCTGCACATATTCCAGGTACTTTAAACCAGTAACACCTGAAGAAGCTGTTGACCTGGTCCGATTGATCCAATAACAAGGTTTTTCAGGTCATTAAGAGCCCAGCTGGACATGGGCAAGCCTGTACTGAGCAGACTGGATGGATTGGTTGTGTCCACACTAGGGGACACAAGATCTCAGAGTCTGATCCTTTCATGAAGTGCAAGTGCTTTGCCTCCGATTTGCCCAGCACACGTTTTCCCTTTTCAAAACGCGTGTAGCGTTAAATCAAGCCGACACAGGCCCCCTCCGCCAAGACAGAGACACAAAACAGCCGAGAACAGACACTTCCACTTCCCTCTGCGCTGCACGCTGAAGACGCATCGGGACATAATGCCATCCTGTTGTCGCAAAGATATCCAGAACTCGCGCTCAGTTCCCTGCT